CACAGCTCTGGTTCACAAGGGCACAGTCATTCAGCCAGTCAATTGTTGATGCTTTTCCATGTCTTCATCTCTGTCTTTCCTATTTCTGCCTTCCTTTCTATCAGAACTTAGCTTGGGAGTCAGTTCCTCTGTGACAATATCTGTGACTCCTCTCTGCTCAGATTTACCTATAGCACTCTGAATCTCGTCTCCTTCCTCTCCCCCTCAGGGACAACACTTGATTCTGTGTTATACTAATCTGTATAAGGATCTCTCCCTCCACTAGACTGTAAGCTCTCTGACAGCAGAGGTTAGGGCCCAGGAATGGGGAACCTGAAGCCTCAAGGCCACATATGGCCTTCTAGATCCTTGGGTGCGGCCTTTTGACTGAGTCGAGTTTTACAGAATAAATCATTTTATCAAGGGGATTTGTTCTGTGAAGTTTGGATTCAGTCAAAGGTCAGCACTTGAGGACCTAGAGGGCCACATATGGCCTCGAGGCCACAGGTTCCCCACCCCTGGTTAGACCATGTGTTATTCTTTTTTTTTTTTTGGCTTTTAGGCTATTGGGGTTAAGTGACTTGCCCAAGGTCACACAGCTAGTAAGTGTCAAGTGTTGGGTCTGAGGCCGATTTGAACTCAGGTCCTCCTGACTTCAGGGCCGGTGCTCTATCCACTGCACCAAGCTAGCTGCCCCCATGTGTTATTCTTACAACTCCAGAATTTAGCACAATGCCTTGCCGTAGTAGATGCTTCATAAATGTCTATTGAATTGAAACAATTGACATGTGGGTTAAAATTGTTTGACAGTTTTCTGGGGAGGGAGGACACTGTGGTACTGGGGAAAGAGAGATGACTTTGGAGTCAAAGACCATGGGTTCAAATCTTACCTATGCCACTTACTGCCCATGTGAAATTGGGTAAATCACTTAAACTCAGTGAGCCATAGATTCCTCATCAATAAAATGAGGAGATTTGAAAAGATGACTTCAAAATTCCTTTCTAGTTCTAGAACCCTTATCCTATGTTCCTATGAATGCTCTATCTCCTGCTCCCCATTCACAAACATCAGAGCATTGTTGCTCTGTCACCCAAAGATCTGTTATATTTTCTAGCCTGGTATTTAAACATGCACACTTGAAAGATTTGTTCAGATTGCTTTTTCCCTTAAGATGTATTTTTCAAAATATGAGGACAATTGACATCTAAGTGCCTGAGAAACTGTTCTCTATTTAGAGCCTGGAGAATAGGAACTGACAGTTCTTCTCAGAAAATTGTTCTGTGACAGGACCTTTCCATCCTCACCAGGCATCCCTCTTTTTTTTTCTTTTCTGTTTTCTGAAAGGATGCATCCAGTGGCAAAATATGCTGTTAACTGAGCCTTGGGAAGTCTGTAGTGCTGAAGAGCTAGACATTTCCTCCAGCAAAGCTGGAAGAATTCCACAGTAGTCAGCTGATTAGGGAAAGGCATTAGACTGGAACTTGTCATGTCTGATGAGAAGTCCTACGTGGAAAAAATAACAACACACTTTCTTCCAGTATATTGGAGGAGACTGATAAGTGCAACCCTATATGTACTGTGCTATGCACATGCAGCATCTAAAGTGATGACGCAATGTCAGCAAAATGGAGCAAGCTTCTAGGCTTAGGAAATAAGTGCGATCCTTCATTTTTTCAATGAGAAAACATATACATGATGACATTGCAACCTTAGCAGACCATACATTTACAAAATTACCATCATCTTTAAGATGTTTAAGAGCTCGTATTCAGGTGTTACAGTTGCAACAGAGGGAAAAGACTGAGACCTGTAAATTAGAGAAACTAGAGGAATAATGAAGATTTTCATAGAATGATACTTTATCGCATCCTGGGTAAATCCTTTAATATTTAATCATTTCTTACTAATGACTTCAGTAGCACCCCCTCCCATTCAGTAACCAGTTCTTTGGATGACAAAAAGCAAATGATCTACAATCAACATTTAAAGTGTTAATATTTAGTAAGCAAATAGTAACGTTATCTTCATAAAGAACAAAAAGTTCTTTCACTGAATTAATTACTTCCTACCTTCACTGATTGTGTTTCCTTAGTGAAAAAAGTCAAATACAGGCAAAGGTCTTTGAAGGATCTATTAAACCTCAATCTGCTCCTAAAGGTGGTTGGAAGAATTCAGATGACATCTATTTCATACCCAGAATAATGAGGCCCCTGGAGATACCATCTGAACAGAGCATTTTTAGGAAAACAAGTAGCATGTTTCTCTTTCTGAAAAGTTTATCACTGAAAGTTGAAATAAAATGGTACTCAGTAGTTCAGACCCATGCAACTCTCAAGAGTTAGGACTATATCCTTCTAGGGGAGCCAGGTTTATTGTTGAATTCAGACTCTGCTTGTGATCCCTTTTTAAAAAAAACAGGACTTTTATTATGTGCCCTAAAGCCAAGACTAGTCAGCATGCCTTCTGAATTCCCATTTTAAAACTGGGCCCTTTCTTGGACTCACTGAAGAGAGGTGTTGGTGATGTTTCCCTGCAGGGGACAGATCAGCTGGGCAATGCTAGTCCAGTTCAGTCCAATTTTATCTTGTGCTTTCATCTTTTTTTTTTTCTCCCTCTGTTGTGGCATCAGCCTCAAAGCCTAATGTAAGTCTGGGATATGTCTTTGTTTGAGTTTTTGTGCTTGTTTCTCAAAAAGGTAGAAAACAATTCCTCCTAAATATTAACAATGCATGTGACGTTTGGATTGTTCCTCAATGTCAGGGGAAAAGGTAGGAAAAGCAGCTGAGATCAGGAGACCTTCATTCAGCTTCTGTTTTTATTTCAACCCATATCTTCCAAGATATAGCCAGGGCCCAAGAATGAGTACTAGAAAAGGTCAGAGTTGGCAGTTTCATGTAGATTGGGGAGAGCTGACTTTTGGCTTCCTGGTGAGCTCCTAAGTCATGGCATGTTGAGAGCTTGATTGTGTGCTATTTTGTTAGATTTTTCCATAGTGCTCAGCAGTGGGGTGCAGATCACAAAGAACTTCCTGTTTTCACACCAATCGCTGCCTTGGCTTCTGAGCAGCAAGGCCTATAGAAATTTCAAAATTGATCCTCCTTCCCCATTTTGGGGACAGGAAGTAAAGTTCATTGAGGATGGAGAGTAAAAAGTTAAGCTAGAGGGCAATTCATAACAGTGACCTCCTGTCAGGTCAAAGGGTAAAGAGTTCCAAGTCCAATATCTCTACAGTAAAGCAGGGAGATAGTAGGGAGTGAGCCACATTCCACTTGCTGCTGCTTAGTAAAACCTGGGAGGCTGAAAAGGGGGGAGAAGGTGATGCTCCAAGAGGAGAAGGGCAGGGGAAATGGAAATCCTAGTAAAGACTATCCTAACTTATAAGATCTTTGTGCTACTTTCTCCTTTCTCTTTCTTATCACCCTGTCCTTACCTTGCTAACTATTGAACAAGTAACCTAACGCCCAAGGAAAGAATGGAAAAGGTTTCTGGGTTTACTGTAAAGCACATTGCAACAAAGCTAGTTTGATGGAATCACTTACTGACTAATTGAATTATCTAATCAGGAAATCAGTGGGGGAAAAGGTTGTTTTGAGAGGCAGGATTTTGTTTTATTCCATTACTTATATCAATGAATACCTGTATTTTTTCTAGGTAAACAGTTCTTTTTAACAATTGACAGCAGTGTGTACATAATGAGAATCTTTGTGGTTCTTATCTTGGCTTTTTTTTAATCTTTTTTCCCATCTTTGGTCCTAGTCTTTCACTTCTGGTTTGAGCATACTAACTATCTCTAAAAAAGAAACCACTGCTAGGGATGGAATGCTTTCATGCTACCTACCGAGATCTTTTTCCCTTTGTTAATAATGATAGTCATCATAAGGGTAGTAGTGGAGGCAGCTAGGTGGCTTAGTGGATAGAGCACTGGGCCTGGAGTCAGGAAGACCTGTATTTAAATCTGGCCTGAGACACTTACTAGCTGTGTGACCCTGGGCAAGTCACTTAACCTCTGTTTGTCTTAATCTACTGGAAAAGGAAATGGCAAACCACTCCAGCATCTTTTGCCAGGAAAACCCCATGGACAATATCGACATGCTATAGTCTACCAGGTCAACAAAAGAATTAAGCACAACTGAACACTGGAATAATAAATAGTAATAATACTACTAGCTTATAATTGTATAAAGCACATTTTCTTCTTTCTATCATTAGTCCTCAAAAGAACTATGTAAGGAAGATCATCTAAATATTATTGTCTCCATCTTACTGAGGTTTAAAGGAGTGAAACTCACTGAAAGTAGGTAAGACAGCCTCCACAAATCTAGTTAAGTGATAGATCCAAGATTCAGATCCAAGATTGAAGTCCAAGGCCATGCTTTGAAATCCAGTGCTCTTTTAACATGTTCACATTGTCTTTCTCAAAGTTTGCCTAGCATTCCTAAGAGGTAACCAACCATTCTTCATTGAAGAGGAGATCGATGCCTCTAAGCAATAAAGAATATCAGAGGGAATCCTAAGGTGAAGCAAAGATGGGCTTCTTGGACAACAAACTGACTAGCAGAGAAGTCAAGTCTTCAAATGATCTATTAAGCAAAGAACAAGCAAGAAGAAATCTGCCATAGTCATTGAAGTTTTAGACTGAACTGAATTGTTGAGGTCTCCATAGTGAGGACCTGAATCCCTGGTTTAGCAATAGATCTTACCGAAAATGTTAAAGATCCTCCATACCATGCTGAGTCTAAGGAGTAGGCTTCACTTGACATACCTAGATAGCGTTCGTCCTAGCATTTGTCTTCCACAGTTTACAGTTAAGTGACAACATTGCTGCTTTTAAGTTCTAGCAACTGATACAAAATATTGGGATTCTTCATGCTTTTGCCAAATTAGTATTTAGGCAGATACATACCCAGCCCTCCTAAAACTTGCTTACCATACATGGACAAGTGGGCTCATTCTGGCTTCCTGCTCTCCTGCCCCCCAGAATGAAAGCCATTTGTAGTAAGTTCCCTCCGATTCCTTTTAGGTTAGGATTTTAAACAAGAAGATGGATTTTAGCGAGGTTCAGTCCAGATGTGGTTCCAAGGATAACATCAAACATTCTGCAGGGGGAGGAAATGTAAGTAGAAGCTGCTACTTGGAGGGTGTCCTTGACTGTGAGTGAGCCTCCTGGAGAGCCAGCCCTCTGTCGCCTTTCCTGCCTTGCTCCTTCCCAAGCACTTTCCCCCTTTCTCACTACTGTTTAATGTGTCAGCCTGGTCTAGTGGCACGTCAACCCTGTCTGTTGAGTAACAAGCTTCCTACACTTCCCTTATGAGTCTTCCAGCAAATTAAACTGCATAAGGTAAACCTCTGGAGCTAGGAGGACAGCAAGTCCATTTACTTTAGCATTTTGATTCACTGGTCATTTCCTGGTGCTCTCTCCCTTCTTCATCCAGTGAAAATACAATATCAGCTAGCTGAGCCACATATCCCAACTGTTCCATGAAATTATGGAAGTCCAACTTGCACAGGGGATGGAAGCTAATATTCTCAGAAGTATTCAAAGCAGTTACCTCCATAATTCACTTGGAATATTGCAGAAGTGATCAAGTAAATTCTACATATAATTCAAAATAAAAGAATTTAAATCCCAATGTAAATTGTCCCTTAGGAGTTTTCCTTTCTCTCCTTCACTAGAACAAAAGTGGTATGGTAGGATGCGAAAGTATAAATCCAAAGCCAGACACTAAGTGTCTCCAGTTCACAACTGAAATGGTCTACACCCAAAGAACAAGGGAGGTTCCTTCTAGGGGTGGGAGGAAACACCAATCCCATCTATTTTATATATTTCAGCATACAGATTTCCTCCTGGATGAATTTCCCTCAAGCAAATGGCAGGTGATCAGAGTCAGATGTCTGAGTTTTTCCTACCTATGGGTTATTCACCACTCAAATGAGCATAAGGAGAGGGGAGGGAAGCAATTAAATAACATCCCCACTCTAGCAGCTGGTTCCTGGAATGATCACATTTTGGAGATTAATTACTGTGAGACCAATACATTGCTCACTGTTGAGTTTAATGAAAAGGGTTGGATGGGTTAAATGCTGGGCACCAGATACTAATACTCATGGCTCCTTTTCCTTTTACTCCTTTGGACACTGATAAGGATACAAAGCTTGGTCCTGGGATTGTATAGTTAACCTAAATACTGCATACTATTATAACAGACTTGAAGGAAGCTGCTCCTATCCTCCACTGCAAGCACAGCAGATGAAAATGCCCAAGCAGCAAGGTTTGAATTGAGAATCTGAATGACCTAAAAGTAGGTGGAAGAACTTCCACCCTCCAAGGATTGGAGGGGGAATGACATTCAAAAAAAAAAAAAGAAACCCAAAGGAAAAAGAACTGAGCACTACCATGATACTATTACATGGTGCTTTAGGGAAGTTCCACTGACCAAGGTGTAATCACTTACTAATATTGTAGAAAAGAAGCCTCTTCATTATACTCTACTTATATTTGAAATCTACTGGTCACAGTTGTTGCTTTTTTAATCTTCAAAGCATTTTCCAGTATTAACCAATTCATCTTCCTCTGCTTTCTCTCGGTTTTTGCTTATAAGAAGTTTTAACATGGTAATACCTAATGCTCTGATTGAATGAAAGCTTGTATTAATCCAGTTGTTTCCATTACATATGGTGTGTTCTGTTTCTACTAATAAAATCTTCTGTTCCAGGACTTTTACACTTGGGTCCTTCCTTCCTATCCAAATGTATTCAGGCATGTGGGGGGGGGGGGGGGGTGGGTGGTGTGTGGGTGTGTGGGTGTCTGTGCTTTCCACTAAGTCTGTATGGGCTTGAACATCAGTTTGTGTGTATATTTAAACCATCTAAAACATATCTTATGTGATTTATGCAGATACAAATTGTTACCAAGAAGATTGACTTAAGCCACGTGACATCCAAATGCGGTTCCCTAAAGAACATCCGTCATCGGCCAGGTAACAAATAATAAAAACAGTTTAAAAATGGTAATAATCATCTCAGAGGGATCATGCTCACCTTCTTTTGCCTTTCTGGAGCATTTTGTTCTGTTCTATTCCTTAAGTTTCTAACAAATGTTGTGTTTGTGGAATTCCTGCAACTGAGTTACATGCAAATTAACTACATCAAAGACAATAGCACCCGAACTCTGATTATTCAGACGAGAAATGCAAAGAAGAGGAAAGAGACTAAATATTAAACTATATTGCATAAGAATAATGTCAATAGCTTCCTCTGAGGATTATTTTTAATGGCGTTTGACTATATCTGAGAGGATGAAAGGCAAATAGACTTTGGTGGCTTTTTAAAGATTCCTTACACAACTATGACAATAGAGACTGTAATAATCACAAATTTCGAGTTGTAAAGGGACTTCTAGTCCCTTTCTTCAGTTTACAGATTAATCTTCAGTTTACAGATTAAAAAAAAAGGCAAGGCAAGTGAAGTTAAGCGACATGCCATTCTGTGATTTGGTTTTGTCCATCTGATCCTAATTTTAAAAAGTGTTGCTACCTATTCTCTCACAAGGATAAAGACCAAAGCGAATTCATCTTTGCATATAAAATCTTTCTATCTTGTACAGGTGGTGGCCGTGTGAAAATTGAAAGTGTGAAGCTGGATTTCAAAGAGAAGGCACAAGCCAAAGTGGGGTCACTTGACAATGCCCACCACATACCTGGAGGTGGTAACGTCAAGGTATGGAATCTCTTAGAAACCGAATCAGCCACAAATGAAAGAGCTGGGGTGGTAAGGAATGAGGCTATCCCAACATGTGTAGGTCATCTGAAAATCTGGTCGATAGACTAGAGACTCCCTATTCCAATTTGTGATGACTAAGTCAATAATAAATATTCTTTGTCCTGAACAGATTGACAGCCAAAAACTGAACTTCAGAGAACATGCTAAGGCTCGGGTAGACCATGGTGCTGAGATCATCACACAATCTCCAGGCAGATCCAGCGTGGCTTCCCCCAGGCGACTCAGCAATGTCTCCTCATCTGGAAGCATCAACCTGCTTGAGTCCCCCCAGCTTGCCACTTTGGCTGAAGATGTCACTGCTGCCCTTGCTAAGCAGGGCTTATGAATCTGTCTCATTTAACACTGAATGAAGTAATGCTATTTAGTCATGAGCTCTTGGCAGGAGCGGGCTCAGAGCAGGTGTTATATTCCATCCCTACAAATTCTAAAATAAATCTTATCCCAAGATTATGGTAACCATTACAATAAAAATAATCCCCCAAATTTAAGTATGTTCAGAAATTGACCTGATTTTCATTTACAGCAGGAAGACTCATTGGCTTTACATGAGTACAACTGCAATATATTCCATTGGATGATTCTTGTTGCTCTGCTCTGTCTTGCATGGAGTACTATGATAAAAATGCATTTTTACCTTTCATGTGCCTGAAGGCCATCCACTATTTTCTGAAGAGCCTTGTTAATATCCAAGCTGCTCATTTCACTGGTCTGTTTATGGACAACAAAGATTGTCCTTTTGTAACTTATTACAGGTTAAATTAAACTGAAAGAGTCTGATTACAAGATGCGAAAAACATATTAAAAAAAACAAGTTTAAAAAAAGTGTTATTTTGTATAAATGGGAAGAAAGATTCAATTAAGTTATTAACATTTTGGACCTGGATAATTAAATCAGTGTATAGGTGATTCTGATAAATTATTTAACTAATTAAAAAAGTAGTTGAAGAACAGTTGAACTGTATTTTTGAGGAAGTGATGACAAGAGCAGCTTTTAGACATGGAGCACTTCCACAACTATGGACTTTTGTCTGATTAGGATGTCAGTTAATTGGCTAGATTTGTGTCCACACTATAAGTTTCACATCCTTTCCATCTGTTTGATACAGTATTATAGATATACATATATATATACATATATATATTTCTCTGTGGCCATTTGTGATACTCCCTCATATACTTGAATATTATACTTCTTTATTATTCACAGTATCTGTGTCTCTTGCACCCTTTGGTGTTGAAATTTTAGGTATGTGAAAGTAGATGTTAGCAGGGTTTTTTCCCTATTAAAAAAAAACATTTAAAAAGAGAAAAACTTTTAGCATGAAGTTGCTTTCTGTAACAACTAAAAGCCGTGCCCCTGTTATAGTGCCAGATACAAGTCTCTTCTGTAATGCTAGAATTTTTATTTTCCTTTCATGTTTCTCTTCATCAACGTAGATGTTGCTGGGGAGGTCTGTATCTATGTAAAAGGATCGAAAAAACTGTTGGTTTGAGATTCTGGAATTTTTTTTAAATTAAGAAGTAATTTGGATTTCACTTCAATAATTATGAGATGATGGCCTCTTTTATTTATTTACTTTTTTTTTCATTTGCTAAAGTTGAATCCAAGAGAGGGAATTTGAGAAAATGTCATTCCTCTCCTCAGGATGGCATCTCCTTATTAAATTAGCTAGACTATCAGAGGAGGCCGCCCATTGAAATAAAACATTTGTGCACATATCAAAAAAGTAAAAATGCTTTCAATTAGAAGAATATTTTTTTAAGTGTGCATAGAAACAAAAAATGGAAATGCAACATCCGGTTTGATGGATTTACTTTTCAGCATTCTGCTGCTAAAACACTGCATCAACTAAAAAAAACACGTGAAACAACTAGTTCAAATCACAGATTGTTGATTTTAAACTCCTTGACAAACATTTTCCATGATCCATTTCTGAGCCGCCCCTAAATAGGGCCGGAGAATGACAGGCTTTATGGAAGCTCTTTGCTATTTTAAGTGTTCTTAAGATTCCTCATCTTAGCAACTGAGCTAAAACAGTGTTGAAGCCAGAGAGTGGTTTGTTGTTTCTTTCGAGCTAATTCAGTTTTAAAAATTGACAGTGATAGTAGAAAGGAGAGGATGGGCATGGACGTCAGCAACATTTTAGTGGGTATCATCTAACAAAAATACAAAGGGTGAAGAGACAGGGAGCTGTAGGGGTAGCATAATGACCCATCTGACATCATCATTAATGTAAATTCCCCAAGGGAAAAACCCTAGAAACACAGAAAATCCCTCACTTCGTTAGTTTTCAGCAGAGTTTTTATACACTCCCAATCTTGTCTAATGCAGTCTATCCATCAGTTGTTTGATGCAAATGTTGTGAATTTAGAAACTGAGTGGACAATGGGTTTCTAATTTCTGCCTTGTAATTGCTGAGTAGAGTTTACTTAAACTAACCCTGGCATTTATATAGAAATATTTCCTGGTATAGAGCGTCAAAGTCCTTCATGTTGCACAAACAGGAAGACTAGTAGTGTGGAACACATTGTGGACCCTGTACCACCAATGAGTGAAAAATAACTTGGCAGTATTTTTCTTAAGTCTTTTCATAGAGTTAGCTAGCAACTAAGGGACTGTGGACCATCCATTCAACAGAAATTGAACACCAGCTGTTCAGAACAGCATTTAACCTGTGACTCAAGTATTTTTTTAGATCTACTTTTAAATTACAAATACACACCAAAAACAAACAAAAAGAATGATTCATGATGGTGAAGTTTAGTTACCTGTGTATACAAGCCTAGAGTTAGATTAGTGGAAGGCATTTATCTGAGTCTTTAGTTTTTTCTTGTCCAGTCCTAGCAAGGTCTTTAGAATAAGTTGCCTTGCCCAGAAGGAATCAAGATTCTTTTTAAAATCAGCAAAAAGAAACAGATTTTTGCCGACTCAAGGGAAACACACAGGTTAAGTTACAGGGCTCTTGAAGCCCCTTAAAAAAGCCAAGCCTTGTCTTCACTCTTAAGAACAGTACTCAACATAAGCTTTGCAAACACAATACTAACAAGGAAGACAATGCATCTGGCAGTCTAGGAGTCAGAGCTCTAAAAGCTTCTGATTCTAGATCTTCTATATCCAGCTTTACTCTGGCTTTGGCTGCTGAGAATCAATCTCACTGTAACTGCCTAAGTAATCCAGATTCATGAAGAGTTATCAGGCCAACGTTCACAAAAGAACCAACTCTCTCTGGAATCACCTGCAACTGAGAAACATTCAAATTTACAATGATCCAGATTCATGAAGAGTTTAAAGGCCATGTTCACTTGAACCAACTCTCTCTGGATTCACCTGCTGTGTTAGCAGGAGGATGGGCTCCAGTCCTATCCACAAGCAAAAGCCCTGTGTAGTACTAGGTAAACAAGGAACTGAAAAAGGCTGGACAGAGAAAACTGATGGAAGTTGGGAAAATGCAAAGGCAATTGGCCTACAAAACCTATGGTAGACTACATTTTTTTCTTACTCTGTACAACAGGAAATGGTATATTAGCCACCCAATAATATTACATTAGTATTAATGTAGTGATATTCCTCATAACTGATTCCAACACAACTGAAAATATAAACATTTTTTTTCTTTCATACCAGAAGAAAGAAGAAAGGGAATCATTTAGCTTTTTAAGTGGCAGAAAAAAAGATTTGCTGCTTGGAAGTAAATTCATAATATGTGGAGACAGATTCCATATAGTCCTTCAAAAATATAGATATTTCAGCTTAATTCCATGTTTGTGTTTAAAATTATACAGATAGGATTCTAGCCTAGGTGAGTAAGCTGGAGCAATTCCCTCTACAACAAAGCTGCCTATTTTCAGACTCAGAAAAGGTTAATTGTAACAATTCACTTCAACTTTAGCAAAGAGGAAAAAAAATACAAGCAAAAAATGCACACCCAGTGTGCCCAGATTCCAAATGTTAAAACACACCTTACAAATCTATGGGGGGTTTTTTTTCTGAGAATTCTAGAGCCTGTTACCATAGAGAGGCATTTCTTCAGTGGCTGGTGGTAGTTAGTTCATGTTTTTCAATCAGATTTGCAATTGTATTTGTTGCTGAATAGTGATTGTTTTGCAAAATAAAATTGCTTGTCATCTAACTACTTATCTCATGAGACTTCTTCTTCCACCATGTTCATTTATATTTGTGTGTGTTTTTCCTTTTACCTTTGCTTAAATGACAAGAAGAGTATTACAAGAAGTTTCTGTCCTCCCCTCTTCTCCTAAGCCAGAGGTATACAGCCCACAAAACTCCCCCAGATGGTTAAATCACATTAAAATATAATTGGGAAATGTTTAACTAAATAAAAGTATAATATGACATAGATATTGTTAATTTGTGGTTTTCTAAGTCAATATGCTGGGCACAGGAATACATTCCTATTGGACTTTGACACCATTGCCTTGGACCACACCCAAGCTCCTCTAGACCTCAGTAAATAAACAAACCCCAACAAGCCACCACCACCCTAGCCCTCCAATTCCTGCTGACATGGTGTCCTAACAGTCCATAGGACTATCACTACTGGGCAAATGTCCTGCCATTCCTCCCCACCCCCCACCCCCCACACACCCTATTGCAATTTGTCCTTCAATGCCTCATCTCCCCTGGGCCAAGGCTTTCCCTAATAAACTACACCTTCCTAATGGATGGACTGGTGGGAAAGGGATAAGGGGCAGCAAACTAGATAATGAATGCCTGTTGTGAATCTGACTGATTCCCTTGGTAGGCAAGCGTCTTTGTAACCTAGAAGGCAATGAGAGGCGGGAGGCAGGATGGAAGCAACTCCATTTATTCAAGGCACAACACAGTGTTTTATATCTTTGACTCATGGGAACATACCCCAATATAACAGCGGACAAAGCAGCAAAGTTTGCATATCTTTACCAATAGGCAAGACCGAGAATTTTTCTCAAAGGAATACCAATCAAAGTATCAACAAGCCCATCTCTTTGCAACATTCTCCTGGCTGTGTCCTTCTCCCAGGATGTTCCCGTGAAAACACCATGTACTTCTTGTTCCCGGAATGTCCCAATACTTGATACATGTTTGTGCTAGAGCTGACTGTGCTTGAGGTAGCAGCATTGTTTACGGTTGAGCTTGCCTAGCCACCCGTCTTTCTGGGGGGTGGAGAGCCGATCCAGGCCAAGGAGCAAGCTCCTCACCTGAGAGGGCTTATACAGCCATCAGGGTCAGAGTCCTGCTCACCTGTGGTCCTCTACAAATGCCTTATAACTGTGGCCCCTAGAGCCCCAGCACTTGACATACAATACTTTCACTAATTCTGTGGTGGAAATTTCAAAAGACCATAGAGTTCAAGTTGTAAGGAAACTTAGAGGATTGATCCAAGCACTTCATTTTGTGTCCAAGAGGAAATGAACACAAAGCCCATTTGGACTTTCCCAGAGTACCTGTGGTAGTGTTTTTAATGAGATGGGTGAATAATTTTGGGCAGGAGTGTAGTTTTCACAACATCAAATCCCACTTTGCTGCAATCTACTACTACAAAGGAGTTGTTGTTCAGGACTGTCCAGCTCTTTGTGATCATGATGAAGATGGGAGCTAGACCCCAAAAAGGAAAAACCTTGGTCTTTCCCACATGGCCAAATCTCTGGCATTTGCCTAAGGCTATAATTCCATCAATTAGCCTTTCATCGTGGTTCCACCCAATCTCCCAATTCTGTTACCCTTAACCTAGCCTAGCCCTCCCTATGACCTCCCATCCTCATCAATCCCACTTGAAGTTTTCTTGGCAAAGATACTGGAGTGGTTTTCCATGTCCTTCTCCAGATCAGTTAGAGATGGGGAAACTAAGGCAAACGGGATTAAGTGATTTTCCCAGGGTCACACAGCTAGTAAGTGTCTGAGGCTAGATTTGAACCCAGTTCTTCCTGATTCTGATGGGGTATGCACCCAAAGTGAGACCTTTGTCCCAATTTGGGCTCCATTTGTCTATGGGCCCTAGAAAACCTTTGGATTGTCCTTGAATTCTCCCACTTGATCAAGGAGATCTCTGGCATTCCCCTGAGGCCATGATTCCTCATTTTTTGACTACACCCAATACCCCAATTCTGTTATCCTTGATCTAGCCTGGTACTCCATTGTCTTGCCTCCCTATGGCCCCAGGCCACTTCCCACCCTTGGTCCCACCTAGGCTCCATTTCCCTGGAATTCATTACCTTATGGACTACTTGGCCTCTCCTGGATCCCTCCCACAGTCTTTCTGTATATAAGGTCTATCTTGTCTCCATTAAAATGCACAGATTTTCATAATCTAGCCCATAGCACATAGATGCTCAGATTCCTTAAGAGTCTAGCTAATATGGCAAATCTTCAATAAACTTTGTTTTTGGCTAAAAGAAGGCTTGGGTAGAATTCTTTTGGGCAGGACTCCCGTGTCATGATTTTGGGATTCCAGGACCCCTAACCTCTAGACCTCATCAATTCCAGGCCTAGCATTCTATCCACTGAGCCACAGTGGAGGAGAGAGTCTATGATATAGTGGGGGAAAGTACCTGACTTGATGTCAGAAAAGGCCTGAATTCAATGCTGTGTGAAGATAGACAAGGCACCTAATGTTCTGAGTCTGGTTTCCTCACCTGAAAAATGAAGATAATGCCCCCTCTGGAGGGTTGTTGTGAAAATCAAATCTGATAACAACCATAAAATGCTTTGTCCAATTAGATGCCTGAGTATGGACAGGGTAGGTAAATAGCACAGTAGATAAAGCACCAGGTGTAGAGTCAGGAAGACCTGGCTTCAAATCTGGCCTCAGATACTTGCTAGCTGTGTGACCCTGGACAAGTCACTTAACCCCATTAGCCTCAGTTTCTTCATCTGTAAAATGAGCTGAAGAAAGAAATGAACAAACCACTCCAGTATTTTTGCCAAGATGGGATCATGCATGAAGAGTCAGACACAACTGAAATGACTGAAAAGCAACAAGAAATGTGAATAGAATGCTGAACTTGGAGTGAGGAAGCCTAGACTTTAAAATATACCTCAGGTTCTAGCTGTTCAACCTTGATAGGCAAATGTCATCTGAACCTCAGTTTCTTTACCTATATGATAGTTATAATAATAGCACCTATTTACAGAATTATTGTGACACCCAATGAACCAATGAATGCATAAAGATAACAAATAAACCTCTTAATGAGTAAAGCACTATGGCAAAAGGGAAGACAGTCCTGGTTCTCCTGGAGTTTACATTTGAAGGGGAAAACAACACACACTTGGGAGTGGTGGCCACGTGGTAAGTAGGACCACAGAATAGATTGAAGTACCTTTTTTAGGAACAATGATACAGTTGATTTGATCAATTCATGGTTCCAGGACTATGGCAAGACTGGACAGGAATGAAATAGTACGCAGACCCTGGAGGTTGTGGGAGAGGTAACAAGAGAAGAAGGCATTAGGTAGTGCAGTGGATGGAGCACCAGGCCTGGAGTCAGGAAGACTCATCTTTGGAAGAGTCAGACGTGACTGAACAACAAACAGAGAAAAGGAAGTGAAGCTAGTATTATTATCTATAAGGCTTCCATCACTGATTATCCTATTCCATACTATCCCATTTTTCTTTACTTGCTAATGAGAAAGGCCTCCCCTGTGTGTGGGGTACAAAGACCTTTACCAATAAATTGGAGACTCAGATATATTAGCAAAAAGAATAGGTCATTTATTGGCTTTCTCGAGAAAGTGCTCCCTCAGAGCACCCAAAAGATGATGCTGACCGAAGAGAGTGGGAGTGTGTTCAGCTCAGCAGCTTATACTGATCCTAACTGCAATCCCCCCCCCCGCCCACCCACTGGCTCTTCTTCCCACTGGCTGGGCTTTGGAGCTCACAGTCTAAGCGGGGAAACTTCTCCCCAGCACCAAGGACAAAATGGGTGAGAAACAGGGCCAACAATTAGGAAGGGGGCCTGAGGAGGGATAGAATCTGGGTGAACAGGATATGGCTCTGTCATGATCTCGTGACACTCTGCTTTCTCCCAGAGGCAGCTTCTGAGAAATGTACGGAGGGGTCAGCTCCATTGAGGGGGCTTCACTATTTCAGCTTTCTATTCACGTGGCCCCCTGGATTTGCCCTAGATTTGCTCCATTCATCCTAGCTTCAATTTAAGGCTTTTTTGAAGACATTAATTTGGAAAGACTTGTGTGGATTGTCTAGCCCAATCCCTTCATTTCATAGTTGAGGACATCGGAAGCCCAGAGAAATGGATTTAAAACAACTCAGTGTTTTACAGTTGTGCCCGACTTTTCATGACTCTATTTGGGGTTTTCTTGGCAAAGACACTGGAGTGGTTAGCCATTTCCTTCTCCAGGTCATCTTACAAATGAAGAATTGGGGTAAACAGGGTTAAGTGAACTGCCCAGGGTTATACACCTAGTAAGTGTGTGTGTGGCTGGATTTGAACTCATAAAGATGAGTCTTCCTGACTCCAGGCCCTATGCTGTGTGCTACCTAGCTGCCCCTGGGGGTGGGGAGGGTTGGGGGGGGCAGGGGCACAAAGATGAAAAAATTCAACCACAACTTTCTTCATTTTATAAATAATGGTTCCCATGTTGGATTTATCATTAAGACAGTAAAAGAAAAATATCACTTAAATAAACTGGTCTCTATGTTTTTCCAACAGCCTAATTACCAGCTGGGCTACAATAAAATTTCTAGTTTTATTCATATAACCCTTCAGAATATTTACTTATTAGCTCAGGAGGCATGTGAGGTATGTGAGTAGGAAGTGGAAAGGGTGCAGAGGAGAGATTCTGTATTCCTACAAGAATGTATTTATAGTCATTCTCAATGGGAGGTGGTTTGAAACTGGAGGGAGAGATGTCAGATTTTGCTAATTGAAAAAAAAGTGTACATACATACACATATACATGTATGTGTGTTTTAGAAAGTAATGTATTTACATTACTGTGTGAAATGCTACAAGCTATTTACTCATCACCACCTGCATATATAACATTAATGGAATCCCTTTTCCTAATTACAAATGAGCATTAATAACAACTCACATTTATATAGCAAGCCTTTCTCACAACCCTTTTAAGTGGGTGATATAAATATTCTTCTCGTTTTATGGATGAGGAGAA